CTTATCGTAGCGAGACCGAGATGTACAAATCAAATTTTTCACAGTCTCTAAACAGTAGCTATAGCACGCAGTCACAATAAGGGAGTTTTATGCCCATACGTCTTTAGCAGAGTCAAAAGCGCGCTCCTGTTGGCGTCGATGGTGCTGAGTTGGTGGCGGTCGAGAGTTTCAGGTTCCTGGGAGTGAGGATCACCAACAATTTGCCCTGGTTCACCCACTATGGGTCAGGGTAGCACAACGACGCCTCATGGGTCCACAGGAGGCTAAGGAAGTTCGGCATGTCCACAAAGACTCTCACCAATGTTTATAGGTGCACCGCAGAAAGCATCCTGCCCTGATGCATCACAGTGTGGTCTGGCAACAGCTCTGTCCAAGACCTCAGGAAACTACACAGAGTTGTGAACACAGCCCAGTCCAACACAAAAAACAGCCTTCCATCCATTGACTCCATCTACACTTCGCGCTGCCTCGGAGAAGCAGCTGTACAAAACTCTGGTGCGGCCGCACTTGGAGTATTGCGTACAGTTCTGGTCACCGCATTATAGGAAGGATGTGGAAGCATTGGAAAGGGTGCAGAGGAGATTTACCAGGATGTTGCCTGGTATGGAGGGAAGGTCTTATGAGGAAAGGCTGAGGGTTTTGAGGCTGTTTTCGTTAGAGAGAAGAAGGTTAAGAGGTGACTTGATAGAGACATACAAGATGATCAGAGGATTAGATAGGGTGGACAGTGGGAGCCTTTTTCCTCGGATGGTGATGGCTAGCACGAGGGGACATAGCTTTAAATTGAAGGGTGATAGATATAGGACAGATGTCAGAGGTAGGTTCTTTACTCAGAGAGTAGTAAGGGCGTGGAATGCCCTGCCTGCAAAAATAGTAGACTCGCCAACTTTAAGGGCATTTAAATGGTCACTGGATAAACATATGGATGATAATGGAATAGTTTAGGTTAGATGGGCTTCAGATTGGTTTCACAGGTCGGCGCAACATCGAGGGCCGAAGGGCCTGTACTGCGCTGTAATGTTCTATGTTCTATGTTCTATGTTCTAAGACCCCTCCCAACCCCCGGGTACAGTCTGTTCCATCGGGCAGGAGGTACAAAAGCTTAAACACAGATATCAACAGATTCAAGAACTGCTCCTACCCTCCCCCCACTCTTACTGACAGACCTCTCGCGCATTAGAGTTGATCTCTCTCTCTCTCTGCACCTTCAACACTGTATTCTGCATTCTGTTCTGTTACCCTATGATGTATGTGAGTCATAGAGTCACACAGCACAGAAACAGAACTTTTGGTCCAGAGAGTTTGAGAGAGTGTTTATCATAGAGTCATAGAGCTGTACAGCATGAAAACAGACCCTTCGGTCCAACTTGTCCATGCCGACCAGACATCCTAATCTGGTCCCCATTTGCCAGCATTTGGCCCATATCCTTCTAAACTCTTCCTATTCATATACCCATCATATCCACGTTTTTAAACATTATAATTGTACCAGCCTCCACCACTTCGTCTGGCAGCTCATTCCATACATGCATCGTCCTCTGTGTGAAAACGTTGCCCCTTAGATCCCTTTCAAATCTTTCCTCTCTCGCCTAAATTTACGCCCTCTAGTTTTGGGCTCCCCTACCCTGGAGAAAAGACCTTGTCTATTTACCCTGCCCATGTCTATTGAATGAGAGGCAGACAGAAAGAGAGCGAAAGAGTGTGCGTGTGTGAGAATGAGAGACAGAGAGGCACTGAGAGTGACAGAGAGAGAAACTGAAGAGAGAGACAAAGGGAGAGACAGATACACTGAGAGAGACAGTGAAAGAGAGAGAGAATGACAGTGAGAAACAGGATGAGACAGCAAAACACAAAGTGAGAGGGAGACAGAAAGAGACAAACTAATAGAGAGAGAGGTGGAGAGATAGAGAAATAAAGAAAGAGTCAGAGACATACAGAGACACACAGAGAGAGGCAGGGAGCGACCTAGAGGGGGGGAAGAGGGGGAGAGAGAGAGAGAGAGAGACAGAGCAACAGACAGATACAGAGAGACACAGAGAGACAGAGAGAGAGACAGACGGATAAAGAGACAGACAGACAGACAGATACACAGAGAGGGGCAGATATAAAGACATAGGAAGAGAGAGATAGAAAGAGACAGCGAAAGAGACACACATTCGGTGTGAGAGACAGAGAAACAGACAGATAGACAGATACAGAGAGAGAGAGAGACAGACAGATATAGAGAGAGAGAGAAACAGACAGACATAGAGAGAGAGAGAGACAGACAGACAGACAGATACAGAGACATAGGAAGAGAGAGATAGAAAGA